TCTTCGGAGGGAAACCTCGACACACGCGATTTGGATCACCTTGGCAACAAGGGTGTCCAAGAAGCAGTGGTGCATTTTCTAGACGTTTGGTTCGTCAAGGTTGTCATGCTACAGCCCAACTGCAGAACAACTGGTTTACCTTCCTATTTCAATGCAAAGGTTAACTATGACACCTGGCATGCACATCATAAAGAAGACTTACAACATATCAAGTTATGTGGGAAGGTGGCTGTGCGTCAAAATGATCTTCGACGACTTCACGTACGAGAACAACCTGTAGGGACTTGGGTGGATCAGATGCCGCCATGGACTGCGTTGGCCAAAAGCAAGGGCGCTTGCAAGGTGAACAGGAATCAATGCACTACTGGCTCACGTGACTCCCATGGGGTACTGATGCGAAAGCCGACCGAGATCATGGCCAACCATCGTCTGTTATTCACCCCTTCTGAGCGAAAACGATGCACTGGCCATCAGCCACACGCGTCGGTATGCAATAAGGAACTGCCCATGGCTGCACAAAAAATTCACAATGATGCAGTCGCTCTTCGTCGAGGCTTTTCAGATCGCACGCGATCTCTTCCGCGCACTCGCGATCCTTTCTATGGCTATCCGCATTCGTCCACCGCGCTGGTCACTGACGCAAGGGGGTGCGATTTGGATGACCCGGGTCTCCCTCCACAACCCGATGGCTCGATTGCGGGGCCACCGTCGGGAGGGCTCGGTTGTCTTGCTTGCGCGGACAACTTTGACGTGCACTCTCCCTCTCATGATAGAGATCCGAGACCAAGTGCAAATTTGCCAAGCCTTGGAAGTTGCCCGACAATCATGGACAGATACCGCCGGTTCCCGCCGAGCCGGCAGCAGGACCTGCACCGCCAGATCCTGGTGAGGTGGCAGCACCGCCGCCCGAGGCGCCAGCAGCATCACCACTTACGCGGCTGAGAGCACCGAGACCCGGCTCGAGAGCCGGACCTACCGCGGGCGCAAGCAGTCACGACATTATTGTTGGAAGATATGTTGCTGGGCTTGCTGCAGGGCAACCTGCCTCGAGCGGGGCGGGAGGCTCGGATGGCCATCTCCGACTACCACAGGTTAGAGCCAGACGTGGTCGACAACAGGGTGGAGAAGCACTTCCACCACCACCAGCGGGGAACCTTGCTGCACGACCGCGACTACCAGATTGGTCACCGTTCGATGTACAATTCAGTCTACAAAACCTACGAAGCCTTGACCCCAGCGTGGTACCACGCGAGTTGCGAAAGTTACACTTACGTTGGTGCCACGCGAAGAAGCCTAATATGAGACTCATCCTTAAGCAAGATAGGTCTGGACAGTGTCAGACTCAACCTCAACAAAGGTGTCTGCGACACATGCCTCATCAGTGCTGGATGCAGTTTGGACTGGCGAAGTTACTCTACTCTGATGGAGAGGGCGCTCTTAACAACAACATTGCGAAAGCAGTCTTCAAGGCAAAAGACACTGAACTTCGGATACGTGCGCGTGGACAGCACGCTACAACGATCGAGGCCAGAAATGACATCCTACGCCATTTACTTCACGCCATGGAGGCTGCACTCAATAGGTTAGACCTACCTCTTGTGTTCATCCGACTACTGCGCGAAGCTTTGTTCGCCGCCAGCGCGTTCACCTTCTATGACGAGGCGCCTCCATGCAACGCCCTATTTTCGGGGGAGCGTAAGACCCGGGTTTGCCAGGACTCGGGTTCGCCATCGTTTTTTGACGACCGCGTTTCGGTTTTTGACGAGGAGGAGTTTTGTGGGATGTCTGCAGCGGGAGGCCTCGTCAAATGCAGGCTCGGCCTCGTCATTTTTGTTGACGACCTCGTCGGGGATTTCCGAGTCCCCTGTGCCCAGGTCCTACGTTCCCCCGATATCTGAACGGCAACCAGCAATGCTCCCTGACCTACCTGTTCTGGACCACGAGCAGCCGACGGAAACATCGGATCACTCTCGTGAACAGACGATACGCAGAGTATGTATTGAAGCTATCACACAGGCCAGAGCAGTAGCTAAGACCAACCGTGCCTCACACACTAAGACGAGAATTATCGGTCAGCACTATTATGACGAAGGAGACTTGGTCGACTATCATCGCCCTACGACCACGAAGGATGACTGGGGAGGCTGGAATGGCCCGTTCCCAGCTGTAAAGAATGATCCCGACATGGGGTCAGGTCATCATCCGAGTGGGCAACCGAGATGTTCAAGCACAATATGGCGGTGCAAGGCGTTCATTATACATTGAAGCACTCATAGCCCGTGGTAGCTTTCGTGGCCAGCCTATCAGCGGGGAGACCTGCTTTGACCTGTGGCTATGTGCCGACCAAGAAAGGGACCCTTCAGATGACGACCGCAAGCCTGTCTATCTCCTAAGGTACACTTGGCTCTGCAGTACCTTATCAGCAACTTCTTTCGCATTGAGAATGTAGTTTCAGTCAGATTTAGCCAAGGGTATCCAGGAGCTACCTCCGGTTACTTCTGCCGACAGCTGCACATTGGTCCATTACGACAGCGACGTGAATCCAGGAATCCATTTTTACGAAGCAGAAGGCACTGCTCTGAATATACACGGTATAATTGGATCAGCTCATGCACAACGTGGACACCTGCCGAAGTGGGGACGCACTCGCGACTCCGATACCGAGGAGACGTACTGCGCCCCCATGTGCACCATGGTCGAAGACGACAGCTACGGACGATTCAGACGCAAATGGTCGATGCGTCGAAATATGCTGTACGACAGAAATGTCGAAGGTAGTCTTGTCCGGGCAACAACGCATGCTATTGGATGCCGACCAGGTGACCACGATGCGAGTATACGTAACCGCCGCTGCAGAGCTAGCTGCGGTCGTCAAGGAAGACGACCTCTTCGCTAAACCTGACATGCAGGCGATCCCGATAAAGTATCGAAGACCCTCTACACTGAACTCAAGACATGGTTCGACAACAAAAGCTTTAATATGCAGGAGATAGCCAAAGCGCCGAACAGCATGACTTCGAGCACGATTGCGATTGGTTCCCCGAGGGTTCATGGGCGTTGAAGCTTTCGACGTAGAAACATTTTCGGGAAGGGCGAGACGTTCGAGCCAGAGGTTACTCGATAGCGCGGCAGCGTGCAAGAAGCAGTGGATCATTGCTTCCCTCGACATCAACGTGGCCCTCCTGAAAGGGGTTGACCGATCAGGAACTTGCTGAGGCTACTGTTGAAAAGGAACGTGTAGTGTGTGTTTACTTTGCTGCCTGGATCGGCCACAGCGCTCCGGGCTCTCCCGGGGTTCGAGCACTACGACGAGTCAAAGCACTGCCTGCAGTGTTTAAAACCAGGCACAGGCACTAAAGACGCTCCACGGGCATTCTCACTTAAGCTTAGAAGAACCACCAGAGGATTTGGTTTCCGACCCGCGTCCTACGACGAGGAGCTCGAGACGAGCAACATTTTGTTCACGGCCAAGCATTTTGATGACATTAATACGGCCGGTACTGAGGACATCATTGGCAAATGTGTCAAATGCGTTGGAGACACATTTGGTCAGTGTAAACTCAACAAGGACACATCTACCAATTGCGCAGTGAGAAACACAAAGGACGAGGACGGCAATGTCACTTTGGATCAATATGTATATATCAAACAGCTCCGTCCTATACAACACCCCGAACTAACCAGCGCCGGCGCTGGCGCTCAGGCAACCAAGATGCTGGCAGACATGTTCGTCAGCCTCAGGGGTGCGCTGGCATGCGCAGTAGTCACCCAGGTGATGTTAATGGTGCATGTTGTATCTCTACAGCGTGTCCAAGAACCGACCAACATTCAAGTGCGACGACTGAACGCGCTCACCAGAAAGCTACAGGCTTGCCCGAAGAAAATCGTCTACCAGGCGATGAACCCAACGGGCGAGGTCGACCTACATAGCGACTCAGGATATCGACGCCTGAGTGGAGACGTCGATGACGACGTCAGAAGCTATCGTATTCGCGGGGCAAACCTGCTACGACGTGGAAACACATTATCTGGTAAGCGTGTCGTTCACTTGATTGATGCGTACTGCAAATCTCACCGCTTGCAGGTCCGCTCGAGTTATTCAGCAGAGACACTAGCAGCAACCCGCAATTTGGAGGGCTGATTTCCCACGATTGCGACTCAGCACGAGCTCCACGCGGGGCCGCTCACGCCTACTCAGTTGAAAGATCTACTTGAGTTGGGTGGCCTGAGCATCACGGTTACTTGCACCATCGATGCTCCGCTTGTTTCAATGTCATTGTCAAGGAAAGACTTGAAGAAACCGACTGGGTGTACCCTTTTAGGACACATCAGTTGGATACGACAGATGATGGAGCGTGGAATCGTGCAGTGCATTCAGTGGTGTGATACCCGCGATATGACTGCGGATGGCCACACCAAGGGGGGCCTCGACAGAGAAGTGCCACTACAAGTCATGGGAGGTATACGGACCTTCAAACATGACCTGAAGAGACATACTCAATATCGGGCCGGCCAGACATCGAGTTCTGACCCCGCCTGATGAGTGCGTCATATACATGCGAGGCAGCTTGCTAGCGGGTCCACCTTCATTTAGGTCCGCTTCCTTTTCTGTCCTTGTGTATGTTAGCTGCTGTGCCTGCTATGCAGGGGCGACGGGCTCACGCTTCGCCCCCCTCCCCCCCGACCTCCTAAAGCGAGCTGAGGGACGTAAGGAGTGGAAGCGAGCGCGCGCCCGCGGCCGCGTCGGCTCAGGCGGCCGGCCGCCCAAATTTGACTGTGCCTCACTGCGAGGCACATAATCGCTATCGAGACCAAAAGAATATTCCTATTGGTTGAGATGGCATCTCCTCTCATACTGGGACTATCGTTAGTACGGTACAACAGAGTTGGAGCTTGGCATCGCCAAAGGCGAAGCTGTTGGCTGGGCCTTCCAGCCCCCTTCAAACTGAGAGGGCTTCCGTTTCCTCGACTGGCCCGCCTCTAGAGTTTGCGTGGTCAAGCGACCGTGGCCCTTCCACTTGGTCGAGGTGGAGGGCGCTGGACTTGGCATGGCTGCCGCCCGCGACTTCGCCGAGGGCGAGCTCGTCCTCTGCGAGGAGCCGCTGCTCGCATTCGAGCTTTTCGGCGCAAGCCCGCGGCAGGAGGTGCTCGCGCAGTTCCAGGCGCTGGCCGAGGATCGGGCCTGGAAGCTCGCTCGGGGTGGGGAATTCAGGGGAGGGAACGACAATTGCCGAAACCGTGGTTCGTCTTGGAGGGGCCTCGTCATCTCAGCGGGAGTCTTCGCGAAGTCTTCGTCGGAACGCACCCTGGAAGAAGTTAGGGCAGCGGCGGGTATCGGTCCAGGATGTGCCGCCTCCCAGGTCTCCGAAGATATGAGGGAGGAGGAAAAAGGAGGAGGGATGGAGGAAGAGGAGGAGGAGGAGGAGGAGTAGGTGGATCGATCATCGAGCATCGAGCATGGATGATCGAGGATCGAGGATACGGATATGTTCGTCGCTCGTGAAATTCGAGTTCCCCATCACTTGAAGCTGGTACACCTCCCCGCGAGGAGCGGAAGACGCTGGTGGCGGACCTTAGCGATTGCTACGCGCTCCCCGGCCGCCCGAAGTCGCTGCACGGCATCGTGGAGACGAACAACATTGCAGTCTACTCGCTGGGCTTGGAGGCGGATGAGGAGGAGGGTGAGGAGGGCGAGGAGGAGGAGTGGGAGGAGTGGGAAGATACGGGGCGCGAAAACGACCACAACCACTGCTTTTCCTTTGTTGCCGCCTTCCAGCCAGCAGAAACAAAGCAGTGGTTGTGCTCATTTTCGTTCCGCTCGGCACCAGGGAAATGACCACAACCACTGCTTGTTCATCGGCCGGCCGGAAGCGGCGCAAACAAGAAACAGTGGTTGTGGTCATTTTCCCGTCCCCCAGAGGAGTGGGAGGAGGAGGAGGAGGAGGAGGAGGAGGAGGAGGAGGAGGAGGAGGGAGGAGGAGGAGGAAGAAGGAGGAGGAGGAGGAGGAGGAGGAGGATGAGGAGGAGGAGGAGGAGGAGGAGGAGGAGGAGGAGGAGGAGGAGGAGGAGGAGGAGGAGGAGGAGGAGGAGGAGGAGGAGGAGGAGGAGGAACAGGAGGAACAGGAGGAACAGGAGGAACAGGAGGAACAGGAGGAAGATTGGTCCCCCGTGGCTCTAGGGCGTGACTGCGCGCCTTCTGTTGGTACAAGAGTGTATGGCCCTGCTGGGCGGGCCCTGTGGGGACGAGAACCTCCCGAGCGCGCCGCCCAACCAGGTCACGCCCCCAACAAACCACAGGACGGGCCGGCGGTGGAACCGACCTCGTCGGCCGCCAAGCGAAGCGCGGCCATCACCCTGGCCAGGGTTCCTGGCTGGTATTTGCACTCCGCGCCAGCCAGGCGGAACCGCCAGGCCAGCGCACAGCCGACCCACGCACGACGGCACAGCAACATGGCATTCCGTGACGGTACGGCATGACGGCAAGGCACACGACGATTTCACACGACGGCACAGCATCGCACCACGTCAAGTTGTCGCATGCCGACCTCGCGGTCTCGAGCGACGAAGGAACCGCCGCCCTCCACAAATGCACAATTTGCTGGACGAGTACAGTCGCAATCGCTGCCACTGCTGCCAATTCTACTGCCGCTCCTCGAGGAGTATGGTAAAAGAGGATTGGCGCCCCGCGGTTTTGGGGTATGGTTTCGCGTCTTCTGTTGGCACACGGGTGTATGGCGCAGCTGGGCGGGCCCTGTGGGGACAAGACTCCCGAGCACGCCGCCCAATGCTGAGGTTCGAGCCGACAGTGGCAGGCACCCACCAGGCGCTACGATTCGTGCCGGCAGATAACCGCGAAGCGGATGGCCGCGTGTAGCTTTTCTTTTAGGCTGGGGTTTTCAGAAGCGGAGGACTCTGAAAACTCGATGAGCCATTCGACAGCCCCCCGGGCGCTCGCATATGCATGCCCGGAAGCAGAGACCTCCCCGCCATCCGCCGCCGCGGAAAAGGCTGTCGCGCCCCCCTGGGCCAACATCTCGTCCGCCCATCCGCGCCAGAAAGCTTGCGTTCTCCATTCAGAAGCGTGGGGAACAATTCAACACGCCACATGCAAGTTTTAGAGATGCAAGTACGTTCCCGTATGACAGGTTGGCGAAGAGGCGCCCTTCGCGGCGGTGGCGCTTCAGCGCGTATACTTTTAAACGAGCGGCGCTTGCAGTTCGCGAATGCAACGCCGCGTGACGGCCACGGCTTGCTAAAGCTTATTTTTTTGTGCACCTGCGCGGTGAATTCCCAGCGCGCAGTGCTTCTCGCCGACGTGCAAGGACGAGTGGCTGCTTTCTGTCGTCAGACGAGCTACCTCCGAACCGTAGCGGAGGCAACATTGGCGATCTTTTGCCAGCCCAAGTGTTCGTCTGCTTCGCAGAAGCTCCCGGGCGAGAGCGGTCGGTCCTGTTCGCCTTGCTCGCTCCGCGGGCAAGGTCGGCAGCGTTTGCCGAGCTACCCGAATTTGCTTTGATCGACCGAAGCACAGACCGAACTTGCTCACAATACTTCAGGAAAGTGGGCCCAATCTGAACGCGCCGTCACTCGGTGGCCACGGGTAGACTTACACATCTTGCATGAAATCCCCCCCACGACCGAATGCGAGACGCGCGTCCCAGGCAGCCCTGGCGCCAGCTCTGAACGCCCCGCCAAACCAGCTCGCGCAGCGCGCGCATCTCGGCGCGTCGCCCGCCCCCCAGCTTCCACTGTTCCGCGCGGCCCCGCGGCCTTCTGGCAGAAAGCCCGCGGCGCGTTTGCCTCTTCAGTCGAGCTCGATCCGCTGGGGAACTGGACTGCGGATCCGGGCCCCTGCCAGCAGTTCTAGGCGCCGAGAGCGCCCGGCCCGCGCCGCGCGGGCCCCCGCCGGGGTGCGCCAAGTTGTGCGATGAGGCCTCCTCCTCCTCCTCCTCCCCTCCTCCTCCTCCTCCTCCTCCTCCTCCTCCTCCTCCTCCCTCCTCCTCCTCTCCTCCTCCTCCCTCCTCCTCCTCCTCCCTCCTCCTCCTCCTCCTCCTCCTCCTCCTCCTCCTCCTCCTCCTCCTCCTCCCTCCTCCTCCTCCTTCCCCCAGCGGGGTAGCATTTCTGAATCGTTTCTGCGAGCTCGCGCCCGCTTGGCCTGGCCGCCAGGGCGCGCCAACTCCGCCGGGAAGGCATCCGCACATCCGTTCAATCGATGCTGGACCCCCCAAAGTTCTCTTTGACTGGATCTCTCAAACTCAGCGCGCCCCGTCGCGCAGTCAGGCCAACTCGGATTCAAATTCAACAGCACCCTCTGGCCACGCCTCCTCCGGCACTGCTAGCAGGACTCCGTTCAGCCGCGTTTTCCGGCCAGCGTTGGCGCCTCGGGCTGGCGGCTGGCCGGGCCACGCAGGATGGCCCGTCTGGGATCTCATCAAAAACACCCAGGTCCCAGGGAAATTGCGAAGATGACACAATGGCGACGATGAAGATTCAACGGGGCCCGCGCGGGCGCTGCGAACCGTGGCCCGCGCTGCCCTGGATCCGAGATCCCGCCACCTGCGCCCCGAAGCGCCTCGAGCCCCAATCCAGGCAGCCCCCTAGCCCCGCTGGGGGTGGGGGGGGGGGAAGGGCGGCGACGCGCAACGATCCCTCCCGTCGACCACCGCGTTATTTCAGAGCGTGAATTACCTACCCCGCTTTCGCTTCCAGGCAAAAACCAAGCCATACCACGCGCCTCCTCGTCAAGCGGCCTGACCAGTACAGGCTGCAATTTGGCATCGTTTGGTATCTCTTGGAAGCGAGGGTGTTCAAAAGCGAGGTAGGTTTTTTTTCCCTTTATTATTGCGCTGGAAAGAAGATTCGACGCGCTGGCAAAGCAGCGCGGCGGCATGGGCAATCACGTTATCCCCGCTGTCCCTGGCGAACGTCACATCGCGCGAGTTCCTCCGCGAAGTGCCGGCCGGACACTACGATGCGAGCTCTTGGCATCGACATCCCACGACTTTTCGCGCAGCGCTGGCGCCGCCGCCTTCCATTGACGGGCCATCGGCCAGATTTTGTTTTGACGGCGCTCTCGAGGCGGAAAAATGGCGCACTCGGCCTGCGGTAGCGAATCAAATTTCGGACATCAATTCATCTCAATCTGCGCGCCTGGAGCAGCCCCTCAGAATCACCCCGAGCGGGGCTGCCGAACTTACGACCAGCAAGATATGAGCGCCGGCGCCGCGAATTAGCTGGAAGATCTGCCGATTGCAGGCGCGCGCCAACTCCCGCATCGGGGGCGACCAATTATGTGGAAGATGTGCTGATTGACGACGCTTGCTGATTCGCACCCCGCGGGGCAACGCCCAATCCCCCAGGCGCCGAGGGATTGCAGAGCGGGCGAATGCCCGCGTGGGCGCGGAGACGGCAACCCGCGCGACCGAGGCGTCGCCCGTGCCTTCAGTGTGCAAAATCAGCCGCGGCAGCTCCGGAGCCCGCGCCGAGGTGCGCCTTGCCGGGCGTGCCGACGACCGCCGTAACCGCCATTCCAGCGCTAGGCGCACGCGCCCAGGGGGAGAGTTCCTACCCCCACAGGTGCGGCGGAAGGTTGGCATCACTTTAAGCTTAGAAAATATCATATGACAAGCAAAACACCAAACTACTGTATACTATTTATAATATATATATATATATATATAAGATAAGTTGTACACGCGCATACGCACACACATATATATATATATATATATATTGAGCAAAAGCAAAACCAGAAAGCACAGATAACAAACGCCCTCGCTTCGATTGCAATCGTACGGGCAATCCAAATCTGTTTCCCCGCGAGTCGCGAGTCTCTGGGCCGCCGTCGGAGAGAGCGCTCTTGCTTCCAGGGCAGACCACATGTCGTGCGCCGATTGTTCGAAATTGTCGTGGGGAACTGGAAAGTTGCTTCGTTGAATCCCTCGCCGAAGACACCGCAATTCCAGGCGCGTTTGCGGCGTGCCCGTCCGTTGCAGCCTTGCTTTCGTCGAGCTCCCAGCCGAACAGATCCTGCATGACAGACCTCGCTCTCGGGGCCACCGCCCAAGTTGAATCGTCAGCGAACTGAGGGTGCGCGACGCAGGATAACGCAGCGCTTCCCCTCTACTGGCCGGCTCCGGCGTGACGGCGGCGGCAGATGGGAAGCCCTCGCGGCGCCTGGCCAAAGACCCATAACCTCCAACGAAGCCGTCTTTCCACAAGGCACGATGCGAAAAGATCGCCTGGCCATTCTCGGGCCAGATTCTGCAGGGCCCCCCGCAGTGCATCAGGGCCTGTGTATCGGATCCTCTCACTAACCGAGGTCGCGCTGTTAACTTTATGTATCTATATATATATATAGCTAGAATCCGTCGATGGCCTGGATTTCCCTCGCCCCGCGACCCCCACTTGAGATTTCAAGCTGTCGTCGGCTAGAGACCGTTGAAAGATCGCGACGTCAGGGGGCAATTTGCTGCACCCAGCGAGTTTTTCCCTGCGCATCTTCGTCGGTGCATCTTTGTTGCAAATCTGTTGCAACCGCAGGATCGTGACCGGACGCCCGATTCAATCGCAGCAACGTTGCGCGATTGCCTTCGGGCGCCTGGCGCACAAACGCCTCCCTCGAGGTGCAAGTTCCCCGCCGACGCGGTCTGGAGTACGCGGCGCGGGGATTTCGCCAAGCAGAGGGAATTTGCAGGCAGGGCGATGGGGGAGGATGCCATCGGGGCTACCGCTGGCGCGCAGCGTTTTTTGAAAAGAACCGCAGGTTCTTGTCGGGCCCGATAACAGACTGGACGTGGCCCGGTGGATAACGGATCCGCCCATGTGGAGGCCGTCGCTCGCTTTCTGTTCCGCCAGGCTTTCGTCGCATTTGTGCGTTTCTTCCGAACCCCACTCGGGATCGCAAGCGGTGGCTTTCTAAAGTGAGCCGGGTGCGCCTGTCAGATGGATGCTGCCATTGCGCCAGGGCAGAGTCAACGCCCATTCAAGGTGCATCCAGGGCGTCGTTTTTTCTCATGCGTTCTGGTCACGCCAGGAGCTCATCGACCTTCCCACTGAGATCTGCATGTAAGCGGCAGTTAGCCTGAACGCCGAAGGCTTTTCGAAGCCTTGTCGCGATAGCTCGGCCGATGCCTCGCTGTCCGAACTATCGGATTCGGTCTCTCACCGCTTGCCAGTCCACGGCGCCGCCGACTGGCCGCCCCAACCGTCGTCGCGCTTGCCTTTGTCATTGCCTCAGCTTTGCCGCCGGCGCGGCGGCACCCGACGAAGACTGCCGGTCCTGCCAGGCGTGCGCGCGGAACCGACCTTGTCGGCCATCACACGAAGCTCGGCCACCGCCCTGGCCAGGATGCCCGGCCGGTATCTGCACCCCGCCCCAACCAGGCAGATCAGCCAAGCTAGCGCACAGTTGACCCACGCACGACGGCGCGGCACCACGGAACTGCGCAGCGGCACGGCACCACGGCACGGCACACGACGACGCCGCACCACCGCACCGCATCGCGCCAATGGGTCACATGCCGACCCCGCGCGCTTGAGCGACGCAGCAAGCCGCCGCCCTTGAGCGGGAAGAAGGTTGACGGCACTTGGAGGTGGAGGAGGAGGAGGAGGAGAAGGAGGAGGAGGAGGGAGATGAGATGGAGGATGGGGAAGAGGAGGGCTGAGGGCGTTCGAAGGACGAAGAGGATGAGGCAGCGGAGGAGTACGGGGAGGCGGCCGTTTCGATTCGAGACTGAGTAAATATAAACTTTCGGAGCTCCGCGCGGATTTTTTGCGCCATCCAGATCTTAGAATTTCGCGCTGATCTTCCACAGTTCGGAGGTTGGGAGGTCAGATCGCAGTGGGACGGAGACCCCCAACAGGGAAATCGTTTCGTTTCGTTCGTGTCGTGCGCGCGGGCGAGGCGAAGCTGCGTGGGCGCGCGAGAGGAATGAACCAGCCGTTGCCAGGGCGAAGTCAAGACAAATGATTCTCTCCTCCCGCCCGTCCGGCGGTGGCCCGCGGTGGCCCGCGGAGTCCCGTGGTGTCCCGTGGTGTCCCGTGGTGTCCGCCGTTGCTAGGGCGAAGTCAAGACAAATGATTCTCCCCCGCCCGCCTGTCCGGCGGTGGCTCGCGGGGTCCCGCGGTGTCCCGAGGTGTCCCGTGGTGTCCCGTGGTGTCCCGTTGAGTGAGATCGATAGTGAGATCGATATTGAGATCGACACTGAGATCGATGTTGTGCCCCGAGGTGTCCCGTGGTGTCCCGTTGAGTGAGATCGATAGTGAGATCGACAGGTGTCCTGCGGTGTCCCGAGGTGTCCCGTGGTTTCCCGTGGTGTCCCGTCGAGTGAGATCGATACTGAGATCGATACTGAGATCGATGTGGTGTCCCGAGGTGTCCCGTGGTGTCCCGTGGTGTCCCGTTGAGTGAGATCGATAGTGAGATCGACAAGTGTCCCGTGGTGTCCCATGGTGTCCCGTGGTGTTCCATGGAGTGAGATCGATGGTGCTATCCATTGAGTCAGGTGTTGGTTCCCGCCCCTCTCCCCCCCCACACGACCTCCTCGTCACCTGAAGGGTGGTCGTATAGGCATGGTTACGCAGTTGTTGTCGCCTCTTCGATGCTTGTTCGTGGGAGCTTTGGGCGGCGACATTGAAGTCATCTCTGTCTGCACCCTCGGCAGCACTCGGACCGCCTCTGGCCCTTCCTCGTGCTCCTCGCCGCCCTCCTGTTGCTCCTCCCCCTCGTCGCCCGTCGCCTCTCCCACGTCGAGGGGCGATCGTGGGTGGACGGACCTCCTACCCTGACACGTCGATTAGGGAATTGGTCGTTTTCGGTTCGCGAGAGGGCGTCGCGGCCAGGTCCGTCGGTTTCGGTCCCGGGCCGTTTTCACTGAGGGGAGGTCTACTAAAGGGAGGTTCGTCCACCGCCGAGGCGAATCCGGCCCAAGTCTGGCTCAGATGTACTCCAGATCCGGTCCAGATCAGGCCCAAATTGGACAGCGCCAGGGGCCACGGAGGCTCCCGCGGAGCGGACACCAGAATGGAAGGCGGCCGCCAGCGCCCCCGCGAGCGCCCTCGGCGTGGTGGGCAACCTGCTGAGCCGCATGAACCACTCGTGCGCCCCGAGCTGCGAGGCGAGCTGGACCAGCTCGCGAAGGGCCTCGGGGAGGATCCAGGCGCTCCGCGTCGTCCAGCGCTTGGCGGCGCCCCCAAGGGGGGGGAGGAGAGGAGGGCGGTCCTCGAAGACGGCGGAGCTGGCACCGAGAAGGAGAAGCCCCCCGAGGCTCTCGGGAAGACCTCTTATGGAAACTGTGCGGGCTTCGGCAGGAAGGGTGCTTGCGTTCTGAGAGATGGCCGCCGCGTATTCTGAGAAGACCGCCCACCTCGCGCCACCCCCTTGCGGGAGCCGCCCACTCGCCCTTCCCCATCCCCACGGTGCCCTGATACCTCAGCCCCACCAGCCCACCCTCGTAGCCAGGGTAGGCTCCGCGAAGCCCGAAGGAGCAGGCATATCCCCCCATCCGGGTGGGCCAGTCGGCCAGTGGGGCCAAGGCCACGCCAGTGGGGAGAGGGATCTACTGAACGATGCTCAGCAGGTGCGCACGAGCTCGGCCGTCCAGGAGGGTGCCGAGCTGACCCTCTTCTACGAGGACTTCACAGGCCCCCCTAGACCAGGACATCGCTGACCAGGACTTTGAACACCTGGGCCGGCACGGAAACGAAAGGAGCGCCTCAGGAACTTGCCCGAGAGGGCTCACGGCACCTTTCGCTCTTGGGATTTTGCTACGTCACCGCTCGATCTTGGGAGCCTTGGTGTGCCTAGACTTTTACGTTGCCGCTCGCTCTTGGGAACATTGGTGTTGGGAGTTATTTACGTCACCGTTCGCTCTTGGGAGTCTTGGTGTGCACGAGTTTGTCACGTCACCGTTCGCTCTTGGGAGCCTTGGTGGGAAGAGATTGTTACGTCACCACTCTCTGTTGGGAGCCCTGGTGCTCAGAGATGTTTACATTGCCGCTCGCTCTATGGAGCCTTGGCGAAACAAGCTTGTTACGTCTCCTCCTCCTCCGCCTCCTCCTCTTCCTCCTCCTCCGCCAGACTCCTCCTCCTCCTCCGCATCCTCCTCCTCTTCCCTCCTCCTCATCATCCTGCTCCTCCTCCTCCTCCTCCTCCTCCTCCTCCTCCTCCTCTTTCTTCTCCTTCTCCTCCTCCTCCTCCTCCTCCCATGGCTTCGTCCACGTTCCTCCTCCTTCTCCTCCTCCCTTGACATCGTCCTCGTTCCTCCTCCTCCTCCTCCTCCTCCTCCTCCTCCTCCCTCTCCTCCTCATCCTCCTCCTCTTCCTTTCTCCTCCTCCTCATCCTCCTCCTTCTCTTCGTCCTCTTCCTCCTCTTCCTCCTACCTTCCTTCCTCCTCTGCCTCCTCCTCCTCTTTCTCCTCCTCCTCTCCTCCTCCTCCTTCTCTTCTCCTCCTTCTCCTTCTTTCTCCTCCCTCCTCCTCCTCCTCCTCCGCCTCCGCCTCCTCCTCCTCGTCCTCCTCCTCCTCCTCCTCCTCTTCCTCCTCCTCCTCCTCCTCCTGGGGCCCGCTTGGGAGCCTCTTGGGGCCCTCTTGGGGCTCCGTTAGGGCCATCTGGGGGCCCTCTTGGCCGTGTTGGGGCCCCCTGGGGCCGTCTGGGGGCCATCTTGGGCCGTCTGGGCCCATATGGGGCGCCTCTGGGGCCGTCTTGGGACGATCTTCGGGACCTCTTGGGCCGTCTTGGGCCCGTCTGGGGGCCCTCTTGGACCGTTTTGGGCCCCCTTTGGAGCGCCTCTGGGGCCGTCTTGGGACGATCTTCGGGGCCTCCTCTTGGGCCGTCTGGGGCCCTTCTGGGACGGAAAAGGGGAGAACCCGAAACACGGGCAAAAGCCATAGGGAAAACAACGTTGTTGGCCTCCTGAGGCCCTCTCAGAGGCCCTCTGGAGAGCTTCTGGAGCCGTCTCGAGATTCTTTTGGACCGTCTGGAGGCCATATGAAGCTCTCTTGGGGCCGTCTTGGGGCCCTGTGGGGCTGTTTTGGGGCCCTCTTGGGGCAGTCTTGGGGCCCTCTAGCCGCTTCACCAGAAAAAATATGAAGAAACGGGCCATGGGAGCCGCCCAGGAGCCGCTTCACTCGATAAACAACGAGGCACGAGCGGCCATTAGACCACTGTACGCCCGCCTCGCCCCTCTCCTAGACCCCTCCCTAGAGGGCTTCGCCCCAACTCAACGTACATCACTCGAACCTCGCTCTTTCCGTCATTCCACGCGGAGAGAACGAAGAATGGAGACCTCGGCTGTAGTTTTCTCTGGTGCGCCATTGGTAAGGCCTCGGCTTCTGGAGAGTCACGGCTGGCCTTACCAGGCCCCTTTGAGTAGTCCGCCGGGTTTTTGGGACATTCCCAGACTATTCGGAGGCCTTGTTGAGACCAGCCGAGACTACCCAGGGGTGCTGCCTGTGCGCAGCCCGAGGCCTTAGTCTCCCTCGGCTTGCACATTCCGCACTTCCGCACACCGCCGCGGCCGCAGCGGCGGCCACGGTCGAGGCAGCAACGCGGCGGCACCTTACGCGCGGAAGGTGCGGACGGGGCAGGCCGAGGATTCCCACGCGCCGACGTCCTGGCTTCGTCTGAGTCCTTGCGTCGAGGGGGGCCTGCACTTGCGGGCTCCCCGAGCGGAGCGCCAGGGCGCGCTGTCCGGCTACGGCTTTCGTTGTGCCTGCGAGGTGTTCGGCTGCGCAGGGGAGGGACCCCTCGCCGGAGTGACCTATGATGTTGGCTCACAGGTGTCCCCCCAGCATCGGCGTGCGCGCCCGGGATCGTTTTTTTTGGGGGGGGGGGGGTCGGCGAGAACCCTGGTTATCGGGCCCGCCTCCTTCGCAGATAGCCCAATCTTGTCGGTTGCGCGGGTCCAGAGGGGGTACGCAGTATTGGTGCGCACGGGCATGCGTGGGGCTGCCGGGCTGCCCAACGCGAACAGGTTAGGCTATCCGTTGGCACCTCCCCCCTACCTCCAACCAGATAACCCGGGCCGTCGGTGAAATATGAAGATCTTAGCCGTGCAGCGCAAAGAGGGGCGCCAAGTTTCAAAAGAGCAAGCTGAAGTTTCAGCCTTGAGCCTGAGCTTCGGAGTGCCACTGTTTTGCTGCCAGAGCTTAAGCTTATGATTCAAGTGGCTTACGCCATTCCGCCGACCCCTAGAAGGAGTTAGAGTTTGAGGCGACCGTTGGAAATAGCGAAGACGCCTACGGCGAATCACCGCCGCCCCCTGCCTTTGGGATTCGCCCATGTGGCCGAGCGTTGTGGCAAGAGGTCTGCCAAGCTATCGAACCATGTGCTCCCCCAGCCGTTGTGGAAAACCTTCGGGGAAGAGCAGGCGGAGGAGGAAGAGGAGAAGGAGGAGGAAGTGGAGGAGGAGGAGGAGGAGGAGGAGGAGGAGGAGGAGTGCATCTTGGGTGCCTCTGGGGGCACTGTTGGGCCCTCTCCTTTTGGGAGCCAGGAGCCGCTTGGAAGCATCTTGGGGGCCTCCTTGGGCCTCTTGGGGGCCTTTGGGGACTTCGGGGGGGCCTTCGTTCGCCTTAGGGCATCCCTGGCCCTTCTGACGCCGTCGGAAGCCGTCTTGGGGGCCTCTCTAGGCCGACTTGGGGGCCCTCTCGGGGTGCTCCAGGGCCGTCTTGGAGGCCATCTTGGGCGTCTAGGATGCCTCTTGGACCTTCTTTGGGCCCTCTTGGGGCCGCCGTGGGGGCCTCTTGGGCCGTTCTGGGGCCATCTTGGAGGCCTCTTGGGCGATCTTGGGGCGATCGTTGGGGGCTCTTGGGCTGTCTCGGGCCGTCGGAAGGCAGAACAGAAACACATTTCAAAATTGTTGGACAACGCGAATCAATGATTTTGGCTTCTGAAGGCTACCCTGGAGGCCGTCTTGGAGGCCTCTTGGGCCATCTTGGAGACCTCTTCGGGGCCTCTTTGGCAGTCTTGGGCAGTCTTGGAGCCATCGTGGGCCGTCTAGGTGGCCTCCTGGCCTGTCTGACGCCGTCGGAAGCCGTCTTGGGGGCCTCTTTGGGCCGACTTGGGACCCCTTTGGGGTGCTTCAGTGCCGTTTTGGAGGCCATCTTGGGCGTCTTGGAGGCCTCTTGTGCTGTCTTTGGACTTTTTGGGGCTGCCTTGGGGGCCTCAATCTAAAGGAGGTTGGGCAAAGGCGAGAGGTAGCGAGCGTTTGTCCGCGGCCGTTGGTGTTCAAGCGGCCGGCCGCCAAGATTTGATTGTGCCTCACTGCGAGGCACAGGACTTACCATTGAGACCGAAAACATCATCGCTTGAAAGGGCTCGTCGCTCCCTCGGCTCTCTCTTGCTCTTGGGACTATCGTTGCTACGGTATAGCAGAGTTGGATACGGGGTTCGCCCCAGGCGAAGGGGGCCTCCCGACCAGCTTCAAGCTTGGTAGCGCAGCTGTCCTATGGAGGACAGCTTTCGCTCTACTCCTCACCATCCACGGCAGTGTCTGGTGGACCCCGGACATGGTGGAACATCAGGGCGCAGTGGCTCTGCGCAGAAGAATGTCTATACATATACACAATCGCAAGGACAGTTGAAGTCCTGCCTCTGCTCACGCGGAGGTGTCCTACATGAGTCCTAAATCTCTGCGCTACGACACTCCTGAAGTCCACCCACCTACTCCAGTTGGTAATTTCTTCGAAGACATTATGCATGGTAACGTGCGATGCGACATTGTGCCGCCTCCACCCCCACGCGAGCTGACGGCAACGTCACCGCACAAGCAACAGCAACATACAGCCGACTATGACTTACGAGGCCATTGGATCGGTGTTACGACGTTTGGCCTTCTATTGGTCGCAACTGGATGCGTTGTTGGACACATGCAGCGTGGCGGAGACGACGCACGTACTGCCGACCCCCACTGGGACCCTGCCAGTAATGTATATTTGTTTCTGCGAGTTCGCTCGCGAGGGACATGCTTGGATCAACGTGGCCACAGGCGCTATGTCCCCCTCCCAACAGGCTGCCGCTCCACAGCGTGGTCTGGGAGGGCTCGCAAAGGCCATGGCCATGAGAGCCCCCCCCCCGCAGTAACCAATTCCGGTGTTAATATTGGTGGTCGCCACACCGATGGCGCCGCCTATATCGCGTTCTTCCCCAGCAGGAAGTTCGAAAACCTGGAAGAGGAACGCCAACTCAACTCGGGAACGGTTCTCATTGACTTTCGCGCCCATGCGGGAGATCGGATCGACCAGGCGCTGGCCCGCTTCGAGACAGCAGCGTTTCGAAGCCGACGCCGCGAGCATCAACATCCAAACTTACAGGTCCTGACAGCTATAGTGTTGAGAGCCCTAGGTGTTGGTGCATCGCGCGCACAGCAACTACCACATTCATTGAACCACCGAATGCCAAGGACTCAGCAGCAGTTTGACGCCTCACAAGAGCGCACGAGGGCTTGCGCCCATATTGGTGAGCGACCGCCTGGCAACAGTGGTGGCGCAGTCAGTCATGGCCACCGGGCAGACGTCTATCATGTCGACACTCATGCGGGGCAACCCGCCGGCAACGTCTGGAATGACTATCCACGACCAAGCGAGGCCACCATTCTATTCAGCCAACGAGGTGGCCAGCCCGCGGGGTCGCAAGACTCCTGGGCTCGATCTCAGGGACCGTCGGCAATGGCGGCCCCTACCCAAGCCACTGCCCTCGCGAGCTCGGCGGGGCAACCCGCGGAGTCCGAATTTGATTCTGGCGCCGACGCTGACGTTTCACCAGACGGGGGAAGTGGCAACCTGGGTTGCTCCGACACGCCTGTGCATCTCACCGCTGAAAAGCAGCAGGCGCAGTGGGCATTCCTAGGGTGTCATTAACAGCCACTAGCACAAGTGCCGATGGACACGTTTTTATGAAGAGACCAGTTGAAAAGGTGACGTGCAGTCCGACGGGTGTTTAGGCCAGAAATCAGTGGTAAAGGCGAGGGTCAACGACGGAGATTGCATGGTAGAGGCGCGCTAACATTCTTGGCATCCCTTACGGGACCAGAGCATGAAGAAGTCTTCCCGTGGAAGGGTAGGGGCCGCAGGCCCGCCCCCGGAGAAAGGCGAGGGGCGTCGGGTTAGCCCGAGAGAATCCATCGGGAAAACCACGGAACGTGACATTTGCCATAGTACCCCGTATTTTCTTCGTGAGCGCCCCCAAGGCGATGGGAGTGGCCGGGGTCCGTCGATAGATCTTGCTCAAACCAATTTCGACGTGCAGTATTTTGATTGGGGGACTCTTCTTGCCGAATCAGAAGCCACCCCCGCGGCCGCCGCCCATCTCACGTCTGCGAGGCATCTCAGCGCGCCGACGAGCTCTCCAAGGACATCGACGTTGACCGCGGCGAGATAGACCTTGCAGCTTGTCTGCACATTCCGATCGCGGGGCAACCTGCGCACATGGAGATTATCGAGGACTACCTCGTGCCCGCCGACTCGGACCGCGAGATGGCTGGGGGGCCTGCGCACTTCGATGATTGCGAGCCCGATGGTTCTGATGATGCGATTCCGGCCGCGGAGGAGGAGTTCCAACGGGCGCCCCGACCGCGGGTGTCCGGGAAACCCCCGCGCAGGGACACTTGCGACGACGATCTTCTACGGGGCAACCCGCGTGACACGGGCGACCTTTTCTGAGCGTATTCAACATGAGTTCGGACACAATGAAGGCTCTCGCTTCACTTCTGCACTGCGTGACCAGTCTTCGAGCCGCCCGGCGTGGGGGCGCGCGCGTCGCATTGGTGATGGCGATGGAGAATGGGAAGCCGAGGGCCGCCCGCCACGCCGCCATCGGCGGAGTCATTCGCGCAGTCGCTCGGGCGCCCGCTCAGGCGGCGCCCGGCGCCCTCGTCCGCGCGATCCGAGAGCGTCGCCTAGAAGGGGGCGTTCGCGGGGGAACTCGCATCAGGATGACGAAAGCTCAGGCGGGCCCAATGGCCCACGCCGGCACGGACTGGCCGGTGAAAGAAAGGACGGGCTTGCCCGCCAGTATATGCCAGACGAAGACATGGGTTGCTGGCTGGAACAGGGCACCAAATCCGCCACTGGTGGCCATTGAATAATGCGAAGCGGGGTGAACACACGGGCAGCATCATCCGCGCGAACAGGAGAGGCGGTGCCAGGACCGCTGCAACGTTGAACAGGAAGGTCGCAACAAGAGCCTTCATTGCGGGCCGGAAGGATCTCGAGAGGAGGTCTTTGGATGCGAGAATTTTGCAGACCGCAGACCGAATTGCCCGATGGGGCGCCCTTCAAGGAGCCCTAACTTCGAGCGGGCCCCGCAGGTCTGGCCTGGATTACCAGCCGCCAGATGATACTCAGGCGCAATTCGTTGAGCGAGAATGGGAAACGCTCTATAATGATCACGGGCCTACACGGTGCAATCGAGCATACCACGGGGCCACGCGTGAAGCACAAGCGGCCTCTCCTGCCGGGCAAACCGCCTCTTCCTCTCACGAAGGTGCCGGCGAGTCCGCGGCTGAGGCGAGACTCGTGGCCTCGCGCTAGCTGTTGGTCCCATTGCCTGCGCATGGGTCTGAACATACACGCGAGTCCTCTAGCGGCGAAGCCGCTAGTCCAGACTTGGATGTCGATGCAGCGATCGCGGAGGGCATGGCCCTGGAAAAGGGCGCGACAATGGCGTGTTACAGCAGAAGCACTGGATGGATAACTTCCAAGGCGCACCGCAAGTGGCCCGA